AGAAAAGAAGTGGATTTCCCTGGTGGCGCAGTGGTTAAGAATCCGCCTGCCAATACAAAGGACACGGGTTCGAGCCCTGGTCCGGGAAGATCCCACATGCCGCGGAGCAACTAAGCCCATGCGCCACAACTACTGAGCCTGCATTCTAGAGCCCGCGAGCCACAACTGCTGAAGCCCGCGTGCCTAGAGTCTGTGCTCCGCAACAAGAGAAGCCACCACAATGAGAAGCCCGCTCGCCGCGACTAGAGAAAGCCCCCGGGGAAGCAACAAAGACCCAAAGCAGCAAAAACAAACAAAAAGAAACAACAAAAAAAACAGAAGCAGTATTGTAACAAATTCAATAAAGACTTTAAACATTGTCCACATTAAAAAAAAAAAAAAAAAGTCCCATGGCCTTGAGGCTAGACACTCCGATGTAGAGGACTGGGATCCTCCAAGGAGACTGAGGAGGCACAGTCAGAGAGTGAAAGGAGAAACAGTGCTGTCTGCTGTGCTGGAGGCCCAGTGACAAGTGCAAATCCAGGAGGAGGGGAGGGTTAATGATGCCAAACGCTGCCTAGAAGTCAAGTCCAATGAGGACTGAGAACTGACCACTGGGGCTAGTGATAAGGAATTCATCAGTAATCCTGGAAGGGCCAGTTTTGGTGGTGTGGTGGGGGCAGTAGCTTGATTGGGTGGGTTCAGGAGAGGCTTTAGGGATTGCCAGTGTAGATGATCCTTTCTAGCACAGAAATGGGGTGGTATCTCTCCACGGGATCTCTAGAGGTTTATTTCAGATGGGAAATGTCACAGTATGTTTGTGTGTCCAAAGGGATGATCCAGAAGGGGGGAGATTGATGCTGCAGAGGAGAGAGGGGAGAATTGCTGGAGCCATGTCATTGAGTGGGCACGGTGGGTGGGACTCAAGGCACAAGTATGGGGTGCTCTAAGGGGCATGGGCTGTTCAGCCACAGTAAACGGGGAGGGCATGGAGGCAGGCAGGTGGTGATGTAATGTCAGGAGCATGTGAATGTTGTCTCCTGGTTCCTTCTGTTGCCTCAGTAGAGTCGGAAGCAAGGTCAGGGTGAGAAGGAGGTGCTGAGGATAGGGGAGAGAGAGGAGAAAGCATGAAACAGTGAATGAATGGCCAGGGAATTGTAGACAAATAGAACCAATCACTTGAGGTAATTGGATATAAAAGAGTGATGAGTCCCCCTGATTGTGTGTTTTTCTCTGTTCATATTTTTCTGAGTGGGAGCAGGTGCAGAGTGGGTGGCAAGCTGACTTCCACCAGGGCTGGGTTTAGATGATCTCCCACCATGTACTCCATGAAGGGTCAAGGTCCAGGAAGCAGAGGCAGCCCATGCCGGGCCTTATGGGCAAGTTAAGGAGCTTGAATGAGTGAGGATGGGCAGGGTGTGATGTGTGCTTTACAAAGAACCCCCGCTGTTGTGTGGAGGGTGGATGGGAGGGGGATAGACTGTGAGCCAGAGTCAAGGGAGAAGTCAGGGGTGGACCAAGGGCAGGGTGGGAGAGACTGGACCAGGGCAGGGATGGTGGGAAGGGTGCAAATGAATTGGAAGACATTTGAGAGGCAGAATGTACAGAGTGCAGTCAGGTTGGGGAGGGAAAGGGACGTGACACCCAGTTCTCCAGCTCAGGTCCCAGTTGGGGAGATGGGGTCAGTTACGACATGGTGAGTGTAAGGTTCTCAATGGATGTTATGGGTTGAACTGTGTCCCCAAGTCCCCCAAAATAATGTTGAAATCCTAACCCCTACAACTTCAGAATGTGACCTTCTTTGGAAATAGGGTCATTGCAGATGTAATTACTTAAGATGAGGTCATACTGGAGTAGGGTAGGTCCTTCAGCTGACATGACTGGTGTCCTTATAGTAAGAGGAGAGAGACACACAGAGGGAAGAGGACAGGTCTGTGAAGACAGAGGCAGAGATGCGAGTGATGCTGCCACAAGCCAAGGACCACCTGGGGCCACCAGAAGCTGGAAGAAGCAAGGATCCTCCCCTAGAGCTTTCGGAGAGAGTGTGGCACTGCCAACAGCTTGATATCAGATTTCTAGCCTCCAGAACAGTGAGAGAATGCATTTCTGGTGTTTAAGCCACCCAGTTGTGGTGGCCCTTGGAAATGAATACACTGGGCATACAGGGGAGGCATCCACGATGCTGTGGCTCCATGAGAGTCTGGGCTGAGGGGGGAGTTGGGTCTGAATCTGGCCTGGAGCTCTGCAGGAGCCTGCAAGTAGGGAGCCATCGTCAGGGGTGTGTGGAGCTCTGCAGGTGCTGGAAGAGACCTAGGTCAGGGTATACATTATTACTGCAGCTCCTTTAGTGTCCTCAGCTCTTGTCAGAGCTACGCTGCCACTTAATTATCTGCTAAATAAATGAAAATTCACTAAAAAATTAAATCCTTAAAAAACAAAAACAAAACTTGATCACTAATTCTCTGTCTTCTCCTCGGAGCCCCAGATCAGGTGTCCGGCAGCCTCCTGGACGCTTTCACCTTGGATGTCCCCAGGCACTTCATATCCTCTACCCCAGACTGACCACAGCATATTCCCCCTCACTTCTCCAGTTGTAAAATGCACTCCGTCACCTGTCGTGATTCTCCCTCCCACCCCAGTCCTGAGTATACCACCCCTGGTTGCTTTCCATAACTGCTGCACACACTTTACCAGAGTCCGTCCCTTTATTAAACTATTAAGCTCTCCTCTGTCATCACATGTGAGAGGCCCTCAGCTTCCTGCCCGAGGCAGCCCCCCACTTTCTCCAGGGCTCAACCTGCCGCACGCACACCACAGCTCCGGGCTTAGGGCATCCCTTTGGGCTATTGTCTGGGGCCCTTGGGGATCTCTGTTAAGGGCAGAGCTGCATTTTTGGAAAAGGACATGTGAGCAGAGGTCCTTAATGGGAGTCTCTGTCTTTTTCTCTGTGACTACTGTATGTGAGAGTGGAACCCTCTCACTCTCACAGATTTCAGAGTCTGAAAATGCACAATGAAGGTCAAATTCTCACCAACGTCTGCAAGATTCTGTGCTCTCTGCCTGCCCTTTCGCCTCTCTGATCTTATCTCTTACTCAGCCGGCCTCCTTCTTGTTCTGCAAACACACCAGATTCTATCCCACCTTAGGGCCTTTGAATTCACTGCCATCTCTGCCTGGAATGCCCTTCTCCTGGTTCCCTCAATTTATCTGGACTCTGCTCAAGCGTCACCTCCACAGAAAGACCTCCCCTGACCACACCCCCACGTAAAACAGCCTCTCCTTCACTCTCCATCCCTTTACTCTGACTCCTTTTCCTTCACAGCACTTATCACCCACCTGACATATTACATATTTATCGCTTGATTGTCACGGCACCCCCATCCCCACTAGAATGTCAGCTCCACGAGGGCAGGAGTCTTGTCTGCTTTGCTCATCGCTGTACCTGCCAATACCCAGAACAGTGCCTGGCACAAAGTAGGAGCTCAGTAAATATGTGTGGAACAATGGAATAAAAGAAGCCCTGATTTTATGTGCAACATTTTGTGCATATGTGCGTTTCCCCGAGGTGGGGACCATACTTTTTGTCACCTCTCTAATGGAGTCTGGGAGCCTAAAGTTTAAGGACAACCATAAAGTCGGTCCTGGAAGACCTGGGCTCTAGCAGGCTGGAAGGGGACCCTGGACAGAGCCCTGGGAAGGACAGGGAAAGA